CTTGGTAAGATATAACTAAATATTTGTTATTATTTTTGTATTGATTAATTGTTCTTGATGAGATATAACTATGATTTTTGTTATTATTATTTTTTATTGTTTAATTCTTCTTAGTGAAATATCACTAAATTTTTGTTATTATTATTTTTTTATTGATTCATTCTTCTTGGTCAGATTATAACTATATTTTTTTGTTATTATTATTTTTTCATTCTTTGGTTGTTGTTGTTGATAAGATGTTCCAACTATAATAATACATTCAACACTTGAAAACGATGAAAAGTCCTATAAGCAAAAAAGAATTTTTTTTATCGAATAGACATTCAGTATAAAAATTAGTTGTTTATTGTTTATTTTTTCAAGACACTGGTGACTCAGAATCGACTAGTGCCAGTGGCGTAGCTAGGAATTTTTCACCATTGGGCCGTTTTCCAACTAAACTATTCTGAGGATTGGACAACAATGGGCAATTAAAAAACAATTGGGCCACAATTTTTTAAAACTTATTGCCATCACAAAAGCGAATATTTATTGAAATGAGACTCGTAGTTCTCAAACTAAGAAGCGAGTTTACGACTGATGAAGCTACGAAAAGTTGTGAAGATTCTTATCCTCAATCGTTACTGCAGTTGAAAATTACTGCATTATATTCATTTCAAATAAAGAGATATAAATATCTTTTGATGGGAGCATGGTAGACATATGCGGTGTTCGCCGTTGGAAGGTGGAGGTAACAGTGCAATAAGTTCTGTCTTATCAAATTTCTGACACATTTTTTGAATTTTTTCCGATTTAATCAAAATACACACGTTTTTAGATGGATCTATAGAGTAAACTTCCACCTCAATAAAGTAAATGCCTATGACGCATTATGAACGGGTTCTAATAGTGTTCGACTGGCCCTGATTTACAGATCCTTGATTGATAGTTCTAATGGATATCTCAAAATTGAAAATCCATTGTGATGACTTCATGCTCTAGATGGATTTCTATAACGTTCAAACTAAAACTCTCTGAAAAACATATAAGAAAATCTTCAGGAAACGGTTCGGTGCACTCCCGTTTTTTTCGTATAGTAAATTCCTACGTACGAGGAAACTACTCCAACTGATTCCGAGCTTTCGGCTTCGTCTTTTAGCTACAGGTAGGTCTCAATGAGACTGCGAAAATCCTAAAAGCTTTCGTGTCCATAGCTCTTCCTTCCTGAGACATGGTCAAAGCTATGTCATAACAAAAGGGATTTTTTTCATCTAAATAGTTTTAGATTATTTTTTTATACAGCTAGCACTAGTATTAGCTTTTTTTCTACAATTTACTGTAGAAAACAAGCTATCACTAGAGCTACCTGTGTAGAAAATAATCTAAAACTATTTAGACTAAAACAAAGAAACTTTTCAATAATGAGAAAAATCCCTTTTGTTATGACATAGTTTTGACCATATCTCGGGAAGGAAGAGCCATGGATACGAACGCTTCTAGGATTTTCTTAGTCTCATTGAGGTCTATCTGTAGCCAAAAGATGAAGCCGAAAGCTCAGAATCAGTTGGACTAGTTCTCTCGTTAGTCTCTTGTGAATTTATTGATAAGCTTCACTTTAGTGAAGTTTTACTCGCATGTTTTGGTTAAAGCAGCTACATCACTAGATAAAACTCTTTCTCTTCTCTTTACTTCTATGCTATCATACATTGTATCGATTTTATTACCGAGTAGATATGAAACATGAGAGTTTTATTTCAGTATGATTCGTACACCAGATTGCAATAAACATCTCATGTCATATCTTTACTCTGTAATAAATTTCATGCAAAATATAGCAAAATAGGAAGAAAGAGAGGAAAGACTTTTCTTCGAAAGTATAAATTCTATTGTTCATAAAGACGGCAGCAATTTAGGCATAATGAATGATAAATAGCCTTTACAACCATTAATCGATCTAGAAAATAGTTACGAATAATCATTGTTATTTACTTTCTGTTTGATTTGTCAAGCTAGTGAGAAAAACAACTAACCTCAATAACTTTCTAAACTTTACTATAAAACATCCAAATGAGCTAGAAATTTAGATTTGGTGGCTTTAGATGATGTTCATTCGAATGTTCTTGAAAAAAGAATCAAATTTTGACGAACGCCTCTATTTTATCATTAGTGAAGCTTTTTCAAGCTTACAGATGTTTTCTATGTAGCTGTAATTTTCAGTAATCTCTGCATCATCCGAATTAAAGACTGTAATATCATTGCAGTTACTCTTAATCTGTGACTTATATTTTCAGAGCAGTTTCATTTACATATTGAATCGATTCTGCATTTATTAAGTCGCAAAAGTCTTGCCATTACTACTGTTATTAAAGTGTTTAACTAAATTACTACAGTCAATTTCATTCGATACGATTCTATGCGCTCAGAAAAGTGGATAAATATGCATTTGTCTTTTATTAGGGAACTTTACACGACTTGGCGAGTGTTTTAACAAAAAAAAATACTATATTAAAGTGCTATTATCATGCATTATAACCATTGCTTCACCAGAAAAGATCGTCGATTTATCTTTCTCCATCACTGGATTAAATCACTATAGGAGGGGATTTATAAAAATAACGTCAATTAAGTCTTCAAACGTACTATATCAAGATTTCTTAGCATTGGGCAATTGCCAAATGGCCCAAGGCTGGCTACGCCACTGGCTAGTGCAACCAGCAAGTAAAATGATTCGAAGGTTGATTATCATTAAAAATAAAATGAACTTATGTATTTTAATCAATTGATCTTTGCACAAAGTTTTTCCTAATAAACTTTTCTTTGTTTTCATCATTCTTAATATATTCTTGTTTGCTTTAACCTAAAGTCTGATCATTTGTTTGAATCAAATAAATATCCATCAACACATACAACAAACTTCTTAACCCTTTAGCCGTCGACATAAGAGAAGGAAGAAACGGGTTTTTAGAAAATTTACTGGTTTTTCTATGCAACAGTCGTATAGCGTGCCTTAACAAAATGCTAATTTGGAAAGCAAATGATGTCTAACATTTGTTTTTAGACAAGTGCTTCGAAAAATATATATTATGAATGATTACTGAAGTTCACGTGAAGATGAGACTCTCGCCGTTTATAAACGGTGGCGGCGGCCAAAGGGTTAATGGAATTCAATCAGCAAAAATCATTTTTCTATGTCAATTTTAGTCTCGTTATTATAGAGATTTTTAATAGTTGATCTTTAATAAGTGTGACATATTTATTTTTTCGAAAGAAAAAAGCAACTTTAAGAAAATTATTTCAAAAACAAAAACATGTGAAATTAAGAGACAGCGAACTGAGTAAGATTTTGTTCGATAAATAAATAAACTGAAAAAAATCTTTTTGTAAAACGAGATTATGTTGAAAAAATCTATCGTTATTGTATGATGAATTAATATAAAAAAATTCCTTGGAAAATTGAATAAACTGCTTGAATATTTTCATATATAAAATATTGACTTATCAATTATAAATCTAGTAATATGCATTTATTATCATTAGTTTAACTATTCAAGAATAAATACCATCTATTTTCACGATTCAGATTTATTTTCTTTCTATTTTATCTTATTTATTAATATTTTCTCAAATAGACAAGTTATATTTATGTTGGATTTCTCAAAGCAACAATTATCATCGAGAATTATTTTCAATTGAGATATGATTGTAACATGACAAATTATTCTTATTTTAAAAAAAACATAAATTCACTGATAGAAGATTAATTCTAATATGACTTTAGTATTTATTATTATGGAAAATATTTTATCTAATGAGGAAATGTAATCAAATATCAATCGATGATTGAGATAAACTTCCATTGATATCAATAGTTCGATCAAAGAAGAATAACTCCCTAAAAGTGTTCATCTCCATAGAAAATCCTTCCAAACGTTCGAACTATTCTATTTATATTTTTTTTTTTGTTATATCAGTATAAAGGGTTCTCGTTAGATGAATATATTCTCATTTTTCTTATTTAATTTTCATTCTATAATCTACTAAATCATTTCTTTTTTTCATTAGATTTTTTAATCAATATATGCGACGTAGAATATTTCAACTAGAAAAGAAAGAATAAAAATAAATAAATCGATCAACTATTTGAGAAGAATAGTTCTTTCTAAGTGATAAGTGCTTTGGATAATAATATATCTTATCACAATTTAGCGAATAAATTCAATTAAATTAATTTAAGGATTTCTAAGATTTCTCAAAAAAAAACAAATAAAAAATTTTCACTAATGTTTTCAAATCGAAGTCGATTCGATATTATTTGGCTAACTTTATTTTCAATATTTCTTATAGTTCACCTTTTATGTTATATTTAATATATAAACTGTTCATTTTTCGTTTAATTTCTTTTTCAATGAACAAGCAATAATCTTAACAATAGTATAGATCATTTTATCAAAATCACAGTTTAACTACACAATTAATCGAGCAAAGCTCGACTAGAGAAGACATCTCACTCCATCACCCTGAATATGTTAGTGCATCATCACATTTTATACAATTGTCAACGGGTGTGGGGTGTGGGTGGGTGTGGGTGTGGGTGTGGGTGTGGGTGTGAGTGTGGGTGGGTGTGGGTGTGGGTATCGGTGTGGGTGGGTGTGGGTGTGGGTGTGGTTGAATTGAAGACTTACACCCACACCCACACCCTTAACATTATTCGTTCCATGGCGATCAGTTCAGGACCTTTGTGCACTGAATGAGACATGGTCAGAAGCATTGGAAGCTCGAAGATTATTAATCTCTTCCAATTCGCTTCAGATTATAGAAAATGTAGAACTTTTGCACGAATGCAAACACGATTGAGATGAGCACCTTCATCAAGTTCTTTTAGAAGCCGAAAATGAAAACAGCATTGACCCTATTTTACTTCCTAACTACTATGAAGGTAATGAAAATGCAGACGAAGATGATCCGGAACAACTTTTGCAAATGCTCTCCATCGTAAATGAGGCCACCACAAACGCTTACTCTGCATTGACAGTTACTCACGAACAACGCTATGTACATGATGCATTACAAGCAATTGATAATACAGATAGATTTGCATTACTCAATGGTGAGTTAATTACTGCCATATTCCGAAAATATTTTGTTTGATTTAGGCCGTACACGTTCTCCGGGCGAAAATAATTATGGTGCCATACACGACGTCCACACATTTGTCGTAGCTCGAGAGCGTCATACGACCATGATTAAAGAATGGAAACGTGATATTGAAGCCCGACGAGATGAAACAAGAAACTATTTAATTTCAGTCGAAGATACTCTGGAAGTACGAGATGATGAAACACATATTGATGTCGAAGATGCTGAAATTCCAACAAGCCCAATTAAAACGAAAGTTGCAACAGTCCCGCCTGTGACTGCAACCAATGCGATTTTATTTCCCACAAAACAAGATACCATCAAACAATTTACACTAAATATACAGCAAAAATATGCTTTTATGATTGTTACTAGTCACCTAGATGGTGAATATTATGCTTATACCGGTATGTTATCTCGATTTTGTTGTTGTAAGGTTTAGTTAGTCTTGATATTTAGGTACTATCGATAATCAGTTATTGATGTGTATACCTGACTGTGGTGGCACTGGAAAATCTCAATTTATTCGTGCAATTACCAAGTATTTCTAACTAACAAAACGGGGCAAGATGTTGCGTAAACTGACGCCAACGTCTATAGCAGCAGCTGAGATTGATGGATTAACTATCCATTCATTTTTAGGTGAAAGTTGCAAAAACAGTAAAAAGAAACGAACCCGTACATTTAGACCTGGTGATATGAAATTAGAAAATGAATGGCGTCATGTGAAGTACTTGATAATCGATGAGATGAGCATGATAGGACTTAGTCTCTTAGTTCGTCTAAATCGAATAGTGAAAACAGCCAAGCACGTAAATTCTGAGATACCTTTTGGCGGTGTCAATGTCATTTTCTTCGGCGACTACCTTCAATATTCTCCTGTTTTGGACAAGCCTCTATACTATAGTTGCGCACTGACACAGCAAATTACAGAACGTCAGATAGATATGTTGTCTGCCAAAAAGCTTATGTCTGAAATAAACTGCGTTATTGAATTAACTCAGCAAATGCGAACCGAAGACATAAGATATTTGGAACTTTTAAAAAGATTAAGAAATGGGCAATCGACAATAGAAGATTACCAACTTCTGTGTACGAGAGTCATAGGAAATTCCAAACTTCAAGTATCTCTACAACAAAAGCCATGGAACGAAGTATGCACACTCATTTTCTCTATGTATCACATTACTTTTCTTTTAATAGACTCCAATGCTGGTTTTTCGGAATACACTACCCACTCAGATTAACAATAGGGCTGTCTTAAACAAAACAATTGAAATGGGACTTACTCCAATTGTTTGTATTGCTCAAGATTATATTCAAGGAAAACCTGCGGATGATCTACGATTATGTAAAGCCATACTTGAACTACCTGACAATAAAACCGAACATCTTCCAGGATATTTACCTTTCGTACCAGGAATGCTAGTTTTACTCACAGAAAACATTGCTACTGAGCTCGAACTCTCTAACGGTACAGGAGGAATCTTCCGTCAACTTATATACGATGAACCACCAGAAGATGTTCGATATCATGATCAGAATTTTCCACCAAATACCAGGTTTATAACGCAACCAAAGTACGCTTTAGTAGAATTCTCTGGTTGCAAGCTTGATGAAAAACTTGCTTAACTGTCTTCCAAAATAGTCCCCATAGCTGTTAGTGAACAAACATTCCTGTTTGACGCCAAAGAACTTCTTCCAGAAAATGTAGCAAAAGCGGCCAAAAAAAACAAGAAAACAACAAAACTCACGGTCAAACGTAAAGCACTTCCGCTTATACCGGCATATAGCATGACAACACATAAAAGCCAAGGTCAAACACTCGGTAACATTATCGTCGATCTGGTCATGCCGCCTGGCCCACTCGAACTAGCCTCGGTTTACGTTCCATTATCTCGTGTAAAGAGACTTGACGATTTACTAATCATACATCCATTTGAATTTGCAACACTTCAAGTTAAACTGTCAACGGCACAAATAGAAGAACTTAAAAGACTAGATAGAATAGCACAAAATACTCGGAAACGTTTTCAATTCATCGCTTAAAACAACAACATGTTAAGAGTGCTGTGATGTTCAGAAAAACCATCTAACTCAAAAAACTATATTGCATGCTCCAAATCTGTTCTTTTTACAATTATAATCTATTGATCATTTGTACAGCTAGCACGAAACTATATTTCAAATAAAAGCCATCAAGATAAAAATAATGAAAAGAATTTGAACTATGTAAACGAACTGTATTGATAGAAAGTCACTATTATTCGTGCATTCAATCGACATCCCAAGCAGCATTTCACAGCTACACACCACAACAGAAACTACATATGACACACGTCGTAAAAGAAAAGTTTCTTAAGTAACGATTTCAGAGAAGATCAGCAATGTTAACCAAATTCTCTTACCAACATCTCCGCTAATAACACTTGCAAGTGCACCTTCATGTGACCTCATCGTAACAAACCGACAAACTACATCGAAAACTAGAGGCAACCGAACGACCTTCATTTCATTAAACCAACTTCCATAAACAACTAGTACAGTAGCATTAGCTCCCACATACCGCTAAAACTTACAGAAAATCTCAAGAATACTGCTCCAATAGGCTTTTCAACCATACTCAAATCTCAACTTTCATTTTGAAACACATCCCATGTCATATAGAACGATCCGTAAACGGCCTGAAACGATCCAAAAACGGTGAAAAACGACTGCCGTTACGGCGATCGTTTACGGTGTGCCGTAAAACGAAGAAATACGGCGAAAAACGATATCCGTTACGATGGTCGTTCACGCACCACCGGAAACAGCTGCCGTTACGACCATCGTTTTTTTGCCGTTTCACACTTCTTTTCATCGTGTCAACATAAGTACTGTAAAGTCATCCTTAGACACCTCCTGATGATTGATGATCGAATAGACACTGCCTATTTAAAGAAATGAATGCTATTTCTTTCTATTTGCATTCCTTCTATCGTCTCGTTCAATACTATTTATTTGAATAAATAAATTTATTTTTTTATTTACATTTTTCTCAATGAAACATTCAACAGTAAGTATTTTGTTTAAATAAAAATATTTATTTTTTTTTAGATTAACTTCAACCGAAATACAGTAAGTATTTTATTCCGAAAAATTCATTTATTTATTTTTATTTAGATTTATTTCAATGAAACATTCAACAGTAAGCGCTCAACTTAAATTAAAAGTATTTGTTTTTTTATTTAGATTCATCTCGATAAAATATTCAATAGTGAGTATTTTATTTGAATAAATATTTTCTTTTTTTATTTTAGATTAATTTCAATGGAAATATTTAACAGTAAGTATTTTATTCTAACTAATTTATTTATTTATTTTTATTTAGGTTTAGCTCAATGAAATATTGAATAGTAAGTATTATATCTAAATAAACATATTTATTTTTTTTAATTAGGTTTATTTCGATCAAATATTCAACAGTAAGTATTTTCCATAAGTAAATAATTTTATTTTTTTATTTTAGGTTTATTTCAATTGGAATACTTAACAGTAAGTATTTTACTGTAACTAATTTATGTATTTTTTTTTATTTAGATTTAATTCAATGAAATATTGCATAGTGAGTGTTTATTGTAAAATAACAAATTGTCTTTGGGGAAGTTGAGGAGAGTGAAAAAAAACAGTGTAAATAAGAATCTAAACGAGCGAATTCCTTCCCTAATGCTAATGACCGTTTCACATCGGATACGGCCTCAAACGGCGCCGTTTACGTTCCGGGGAAAAACGGCCCTCAATCCGAGCTGACGGAAAACGGTCAAAAAACGGTGAAAACCGGCGATAGTTTTTCATCGTTTTTTGACCGTTTTAGGCCTTTTAAGACGTCGTTTCAGACAGCCTGAATGATGGACCTGGGATACAGAGTGCGTATGCGTCCAGGATCCAGCGTACACTGTAAAAAAAATGCGTAGAATAATAAACCCTAGTACTTTAGGAAAATATTCCTAAACCCTTAAAGGGTTTTTGTGCGAAAGGGTTTCCGAGAAAAAGGGTATTTAAAAATAAAAAGGGTTTATGACTAGTGAAAAAGGGTTTATTGTTCTGCCCTTTCATGAAAAGGGTTTATTATTCTACGGCCAAGGGTTATTGTTCTACTTTTTATAAAAAGGGTTTATTATTCTATGGCTAAGGGTTTATTGTTCTACTCTTTTATGTAAAGGGTTTATTATTCTACGGCTAAGGGTTTATTGTTATACCCTTTCATGAAAAGGGTCTATTATTCTACGGCTAAGGGTTTATTGTTCTACTCTTTTATGTAAAGGGTTTATTATTCTATGGCTAAGGGTTTATTGTTCTACTCTTTTATGTAAAGGGTTTATTATTCTACGGCTAAGGGTTTATTGTTCTACCCTTTCATGAAAAGGGTCTATTATTCTACGGCTAAGGGTTTATTGTTCTACTCTTTTATAAAAAGGGTTTATTATTCTATGGCTAAGGGTTTATTGTTCTACTCTTTTATGTAAAGGGTTTATTATTCTATGGCTAAGGGTTTATTGTTCTACTCTTTTATGTAAAGGGTTTATTATTCTACGGCTAAGGGTTTATTGTTCTACCCTTTCATGAAAATGGTTTATTATTCTACGGATAAGGGTTTATTGTTCTATTCTTTTATAAAAAGGGTTTATTATTCTACGGCTAAGGGTTTATTGTTCTACCCTTTCATGAAAAGGGTTTATTATTCTACGGCCAAGGGTTTATTGTTCTACCTTTCCATAGAAAGGGCGTATTCCCTAGACTGAAAGTATAGGGTCTAGAAACGGAAATTCGCCTGTGTCTGTCTGTCTGTCTGTCTGTCTGTCGGTCTGTCTGTAACACGTACGGTTACCATATGGTAACTATGTGATCGTTAAAATAAAAATAAATATATATTTCGAATGGCGCGCAAAGCCAATAAAATAAGATTTTCTTTCTATTCCCAAGACTGAAAGGCTAGGGTCTAGAAACCGAAATTCACCTGTGTCTGTCTGTCTGTCGGTAACGCAGTCAAAATGGCCATTTTTTTGGCACACGTGACCATTTTTATGGCATAAACGACCACTTTTTTGGCACAAGTGACCATTTTCGTGCCACAAATGGCCATTTTTTTGGCACAAGTGACCATTTTTTTGGCGCAAACGGCCATTTTTTTACTAAAATTAACTAGGTAACTATGGTACAAATGAGCATGTAACTATGGCACAAACGGTCATTTTTTTGGTAGAAACGACCACATAACTATGGCACAAGTGACCATATAGCAATCATGGTACAAACAACTATTCCGGTAACTATGGTACAAATGACCATCTAAAGACTGATGTAAATGAACCCATAATAATCATGGGTAAAATGTCAATGGAATAACTATAATTTGGGTAGTGATGTAAAACGGCTTACTTACACAAGCATTTAATTAGTGAGAGTCAGACCAAATGAGCAGTATGGATTTAAAGAAATCGTTTAAATTATTCATTATTGTAAGATTGATTGTGCAATGTTGTATCAATGAATATCTAATTTATTAATAGTTTAGAATTAATGCGTGAATTTAAGCATAAAATATTGATTAATAAAACTCAAATTTTATGAATAATATAATTCATATTTTTGTACGTACAAATAGCGCCAATATAATTATAAAAAAATCGTATTGTTGTCTAATCTTATTAGGCGCTATTTATATTCATAAAAGCAAAAAAAAAATAAAACAAAAACGATAAAAAAAAATTAAATTTGTAAATGCATCATCTTTACTTAGAGTGAGAATTCTCCAAATTAAGTTTTCTGGTCGCCTAAGATATACTGGTCATATTATCAATGTTGCGTATTACTTTTTTAATGTAGCTTTTTATGCTATTCCTTCCATACATGTATTCTATCAGTCTAGGGCTAAGTGAATCGCTTGACGATGAACGTTACTTGTTTCCTAGAGTGAAATGCTAGGGTCTAGAAAGCGTAATTCACCTGTGTCTGTCTGTGACAAGGGCTTGGCACAAATGGTCATTTCCATGGTACAAATGATTATTTTTTTGGTAGAAATGACCATTTTTGGGTGTGGGAATTGGTGTGGGTATTGGTCTCTTCCTCACTCATACCCACACCCACATCCCGATGTCGAAATCTTGCGGCTTCCAGTAAAGCATTGTATACTCAATCCCGCAGAGCTTACATGGGCCCAACTCAAGTCACACGTGCGCAACAGGTATGTTAATTTTCATCTTTCCAAGGTTGAAGATAGTGCACTCGATTTTATTGCTGTCGTTGATGAAGACTTAGCACAAAGCTTCATCGAGCATGCATACAATTTCCAGAACATTTTTAAAACAGCCGATGTAGAGGTGTAAGCCGCCGAGCTGAACCGACACCGTCATATAATCGTAGATAATTTTAAGAATTTTTTAGCCGCCGCCGCTATGAAAAAGTTAGTTCAGCCAGTGCGCCACCACCACGAACGAAAATTTTTGATAATAGTATGAAGCACTACCGCCGTTGACATCGATACATATGCGATGGGTCATTTTTTCCACTTTTAGGAGCGAAAACGTTTTATTTCTGATTATCAAAGCCGTCGTCGGTGCAGAAAAACATAAGCTATAGCAGCTGCCACCACTGTGGGAAAAAATAATTTATAGTTAAAGCCACCGCCGCGACGTAGAAAACATAAAACCTAGTAGGCGCCGCCGCTATGAACAAAAAATTTGACCATTAAAACCGCTGCCGCTCTTTGACCCTCGGCTTACACCTCTAAGCGGATGTCATTGTGGAAAACAATATTGAGGTACAATTGATTGAAACTGATAAAAAAGAAGATTCAGCAGCAACGGATGGCAATGAGTGTGATATTTCTAAGTGACAATTTGTATGCGTCCCTCTTCTGTACCATTTGCACTTGTGACAACTTCTCTGATGCATACATATGTCATTGTGAGCAAATAGACAAAAAAAATAAACATGAACGAGTAAAAAATGAATGTTTCTCTTGAATCAATTAGTGAAGATCGGCAGAAATCGACATACACGAGGTGATATGAAGAAATCAAAGATCTTCTATCATCTAACTAATAACGTTACAATAGTCAGTAGATTCCATTACCTCTATGGATGAGAGGTCTAAGACAAACAATTTTGAAGATTTAGCATCATTCGATTTCAGGAGATTTTTTTTTATCTCAGAGACACATAAGGGAAGTGTGAAACTTTCAGCGTTTATAGAACAGATGCTCGGCTACAATTTGGCTAAATCGAAATTAATAATCTATTTAATCAAAAGAGCCAGTCAGAGTTTTATAAAAAAAGCACTTGCACAACTTCTATAAAACTTTTAAAATTCATTGACTCTCAGCTGTACAGGTACCCTCACCCACCCTCTGTCTAACGGTGAAAACCGCGATTCGATAGCTATCAGCGTTGCAAAGTTATTAAACAAGCAATCGAGTTCACTTTAATTTGAAATGGATAATAACTTCCACAACAAGATGAATTGTAAGTATTATTTACATTAGTAGTTTTTCTTTTTCTATTCAGGTCAGCCTCAAAAACAAGATAAAACTTAGTTTTTATATACATAAAAACACCATAATGAACTTAAGTATTATTTTTATAAACTCGTCTTTCTTGGCTAAGTTAATCTCGACAACGAAATGAAATGTAAGCAACATTTATACATGCGTATATATACTTATATTTTTTTAGTTCAAAATAAAATGTAAGTATTATTTATATAAATCTTTTTTTTCCATTTAGATAAATCGCAACAACGAAATCAAAAGTAAGTGTTATTTTCTTATCGATGTTTCTTTTTGATCTAGATTAATATGGAGTTCAAAAATAAAATGTAAGTATTATTTACATTAATAATTATCTTTTTCTGTTTAGATTCATTGTAACAAGAAATGAAATGAAAAGTAAGTATTATTTACTTATATATATATATATATATATATTAATTTTATTTAGTTCAATATAAAATTCAAAATAATATGTAAGTATTATTTTAAAAAAATCTTCTTTTTTATTTAGATCAATCACAACAACGAAATCAAAAGTAAGTATTATATACTTATATATATTTTTTTTTAATTTTATTTAGTTCAATATGAAATTCAAAATAATATGTAAGTATTATTTAAAAAAAAATCTTCTTTTTAATTTAGACCAATCGCAACAACGAAATCAAAAGTAAGTATCATTTTCTTATATGTTTCTTTTTGATTTAGGTTAATCTGGAGTTGAAAATAAAATGTAAGTATTATTCATATTAATTGTTATCTTTTTCTATTTAGGCCCATTGGAACAAGGAAATGCAAAGTAAGTAATTATTTCTATGTATATATTTGTTTTTCTTTATTTAGTGCAATATGAAGTTCAAAATAATATGTAACTATTATTTATAGTACTTTATTTTTTTTATTTAGGTTCATCGCGACAAACGTAATCATGAGTAACGCTGGGGACTAATTTTAAGGCACACCGATTCAACCTGCCAACCTTTTTCCGTCGCATAACAACAAAGAACTTTAGGAAACAGCGATGTCACGGCTCACAACTGTACATGTTCTTCTAAGCAAAAAACAAATTCTAAGTGGTTCGAATGATACTTCAAGGAAAAGTTTAGATTGCTAAATGAGATTTTTTTGTCTATTTGGCAATCTAGACTTTTCCGTGGAGTGTCATTCGAACCACTTAGAATTTGTTTTTTGCTTAGAAGAACATGTACAGTTGTGAGCCATGGCATCGCTATTTCGTAAAGTTCTTCGTTGTTATGCGAGGGGAAAGGGTAACAGGTTGAAATGGTGTGCCTCAAAATTAGTCTCGAGGGCGGGTGTGTTTTATACACTCTTACCGAAACTCTTGCATAGGTATATGAGCATTTTCTAAACCCTTTACGAAACGTTTTGGTCGGTTTATGTGTTTTTCCGAAACCCTTATATGGGTTTATGACTGTGTCCTAAACCCTTGGATAAACCCTACATGGGTTTATGAGCATTTTCCTAAACCCTTATATGGGTTTATGACTGTGTCCTAAACCCTTGGTTAAACCCCTACATGGATTTATGAGCATTTCCTAAACCCTTATATGGGTTTATGAGTGTGTCCTAGACCCTTGGCTAAACCCCTACATGGGTTTATGAGCGTTTCCTAAACCCTTTGCTCAATCCCATCCGTACTTAGTCATCATCATAAACCGTTTTTGAGGGTTTATGCAAGGGTTTATTGATTTCCTAAACCCCTTCATATACCCTTAGTAAGGGTATATCAAAGGGTTTATGATTTTCCTAAACCCTTAAACGGGTTGTTGAAAGTGCAACGTATAATAAACCCTTAAAGGGTTTAGGAACCAGGCCTCGAAACGGGCCGCCCAGCCCGGTGGACCGACCCGGCCCGCCCGGCCCGAGCCCGGCTCGGCCCGGCTCAACGAAGCTTTTCTTTCGGGCCGGGTGGGCCAATCGGTAAAAAATGTTGGGCCGGGCGGGCCAGGTTTTTTTGTCGGGCTGCCCGGCCCGGCGTCTTATTTAAATTTAATGTACTTTATATCTATCATAAACAGTTCAAATTACCGAAAAAGTTTATGAAAGAGAAAATATTCGAGTTCTGCATTGAAATATTTTAAAAAAACATAACAATATTTCAAAGTAATTGTATGTCTAGACCGTATACTGTATTTTGTAGTATGTTAATTACATTAATTATTATGAGAATAAGATTGACAGAAAAATGTGTCGAAAACAAACCGTCCTCGATAATTGCCGTTACAAACGACAGTTTATTCAACTCTTATGCTTTGATTAACTAGTAACTCAAAAGGAAGTGTACCATTTTTTTGAGGGTACGCTCTTTCTAGCTCGCGCATTTAGTGAGGTAAGACTTATGTAAGTCGAAAATGATCTGTATAAAAAGCAGAAAATCTTGACACACAGTTTCCAGACCTAATCTATTGCTTTTAGAAATAACTTATTGTGTATATATTAATGTCAAACGTGTAATAGCGATGGTAAGTTTGGCAGATACATATTAAAGCCGAGTTAGAAATTATCTAGAGCTTATTACTGCAGATATTTATAATTATTTTTCATACAGTATTTTTTACTGCACACCATCTCATCGAGTGATTTTCATCGGAAAAACTTTCAACGAGTAATATAGTACCCTTTTCATGTTTTTTCTTACTAGAGAAACAGTACTGAAGGACATCCAGTTACGCAAAAAAATCGATATTTACCTTAAAAATCTTCGAACATCTTTTGTTTCTTCGTCTGATTCAATAAGCAGCTCGATTCATCCTATATTGATTTTATTTTTATCTCAGCAATCTGACTAAAAATTTCCCTATAACATTCGGACAATGTGCTCCAAAGGACATTGTTAATTATGCATGTGATTTTCGGATTCTGGCATGGAAAAATGTCAGTAATAGGAAATCTTCATCAGGCCCGGGCCGGGCTGGGCGGGCCAAGCAAATTTACGGGCCGGGCTCGGGCCAGGTTGCACTAAAATTAGAACGGGCCGGGCGGGCCACCAGTTTAGTTGGGCCGGGCCGGGCTATAAAAACGAGGCCCGTTTCGAGCCCTGTTAGGAACTTCCTAAACCCTTTGAAAGGGTATATGAAAGGGTTTATGGATTTCCTAAACCCTTTAATAAACCCTTTAAAAGGGTTTAGGAAAATTTTACATACGGTAAAAAGGGTTTATTATACGTTGCACTTTCATCAACCCTTTTTGGGTTTATTATTCTACGTTTTTTTTACAGTGTACCAGGATTCCGATAAGAATTGCGGTTATTTCAACACTTTCCGACATCCGACAACTTCCTATCGGAATCCGATACCAAGGATTCTGTCGGAATTCATGGGATCCGATAGGATCCTATTGGTCAGTTTCGCCCTGGGTAGGAATGAAGCTTTGGCAAGCAGATTGGCTAATTTTCATGGGCCAATTGTGATGACCAGCTTTGTAGCAATACAGCATGCAAGCGGGCACAACAGTTCAAACAATTTCTTGAATGCCTATCGGTGTCATCAAGAGCGTCCGATTACGATAATCAGATAACTGCAATGGTGAATACAATTTGCACAGCACCGGTTGGTTTTCTTTAGTTTTCCTGCTATGCACTACGATGCTAATTTGTTTTCAGTACCAATATATCATGTCTCCTCTGGAATTGATTCCAACCATAGAATTCGACGGAAGGAAGCACAAGGTTGATAATATAAAAAGTATCTCTTTTGAGAAGTTACAGACTGATATTCAGAGACGACTTAAATGTATTCTCAAACTAACGAATATATAATCTCGATTCAAATCTGTCAATTCTCAAAGAAGTAGAAATTTTTCATGCGTTTTTCTAGCAATAGAACGTTCTCTCTCGACGACAGATAATTAGCACAGAACATCATACATTAAATTTTCTTAAAAATAGTCAGTAAGATATTTATCAAAAATTATTACCTATATTACTCTAATTTTCAATATATATAAATTTCAATATATAGCCAAGTTCTAAAAAAATATTCATATAATGCATTTACAAATATCCCTGAGAAAAAAAGCTCATTCATTTCATCAGTAAGTAGATCACAAGTAAAATAATTTCAGTTTAATAATCGTTGATTGTCACACATAGTTAGTCAATTGGTGTATATATACGTATATATAAGAAGATATGTCATAACAAATCTATAACTAAAAAAAAACTGAGATAAAATTAAATGAGTCGGACATCCGTTGAGACAATCAATAACTAAATATAAATATGAATCAAATCATTCGTGACGTTTAATGTGTCACGGAGGGAGTGATGTTGTGTTATAGGCGACATTCAATCAATTCTATCGCTCATAATTGAGCGCCCTCTATGCTTATGTCTTCGTACAAAGAAAATCGAACGCACTTTAAACAATGGCAAATGTCTTTATTTTCTTTTCCACATGGGAGACAATATATACATATATATATATGTGCACCTTTTTTTTTTTTTTATTATACATTGAGCCTCATTTCATTCACATTGATAACTTTTTCTCGTATTATTATATAGAAATATAAACAAACGAAAAATTCACAATTATGGCTGAAGATAATGATGATAATAAAACTGAAAAAATACTGCAATTACAATTACTTATTGAACAAGAAAAAACAAAACAAAAAGAGATAGATATTGTTATTCAACAAGAAAAAACAAAACAAATAGTTGAAATCGAACGAATAAAGCGACTGAAAGTACAATATGGCCAATCTTTGTCATCAGGAAATATAGAACTGAGTTCATTAAGAAACTATCAAGATTATTACGACCATGCTGTTAAGGGTAATATTAATCCACTTGACATTAATTCTTTATTAAATAGTAATAGTTATTTTGACGATGATGATTATTTTGATAATCATATAGCACCTTTAATTAAAGCTTATTTAAATGATCCGTCATTAAATCTTCCAATACCAGAAGCAGATATTCAAGAACGATTTGGTAACTTAATAATTCAATTATTAATGATACTTGATGATAGAGCATCATTGAAATATTTAACAACATGCAATACAACTATAGAAGGACGTCGATTTGATTATAGTTTTATATATAAAAATATTAATATCAACATCAGGAAACAATTTCAATGTTTAGGAGATTTTATTGTTTGTATTGGTGAATACAAGTCATCAGAAGATTCTATAGCAAATACAAAACATATTGGACAAGTGTGTCAATATTTCGATAGTATATTAAAACTACAGCGTCGTCAAAAGATCTATGGTTTTTTAACTAATTTCGTATACATAAAATTTTTTTATGTTGAAAAGAAAAAGGATTCGTCTTTATGTAATTATTATCAAAGCTATGATTTAGAAATGTTTAATTATTGGTCTCAAACATCACCAGTTGTTCCTTCGATGACAACAGCTGAACAAGCGAACTATAGATATTTAAATAAAGATACATGGAAATTATTTACAAAATTTTTAACAATGAACACGGACTTTTACGAATATGAAACATTATATATAAATCCACGTGATTATTTATTTGCTAATAAATATAATATAAGAAAAAAATTAGGAAATGGTGCAACTTCAATGGTTTATTTATTAGTAAAAAATGAAGATAATTTATTGATTAATGATTTACATCAATGTGTAATAAAAATTTGTAAAGACGATGAATCTGCAAAATTATTTATAAGCGAAGTTAAAATAATAGAAAAATTAAGACAATTAAATATTTCAAATCAATTTGATAAATTTTTTGAAAATATTCTCGATTCATCACGTACAGGTAATATTTTTCTATCAATCATTTTTGTTAAAGTTTTTAATACGTTGAAAATCTATTTAAAAAAATAGAGAATTTTGTTTCTTTTTCAAAAGAATTGAAAAAAATATAATAAAAGAAAATATTTAATGAGATATTAAAATTCTAGAAAATTTTAGTTCATTAATGGAATTTATCTAAATGAGATTTAGAAGCAAAACAATTATTATTGATAATAAATAAATCACAAGAAGATTTTTTTTCTATTCCTGACATATAAAATAAATTAGAAGATAGAAGAGAAGAATGAATATCTCGGCAGTTGAATTCATTAAAAGAAGAAAAATAAAAAAAAAATAAATAAGTTTATTTTCATCTATATGTTAATAAATATAAGAGCTAATTGGACATAAAAATATCAGATGTTTTTTTAAATAAATATAGAAGAAAATAATTACATCTGATTATTTCAAAATTGAATCGACTAACAAAATAGAAAATTTTTTATTTTCATTATCAATAGATAAATATAGAAGATTAATGTTAAACATTATAAAATTGAATAGAAATGAATGTTTTTCTCTTATCTATCCGAATAAACAAAGTGTTAATGTTGCCAATATGTTTTCATAATTTATAATGAATTTCAAACTATTTTCATTATAAATAAAATTGACGTTTTTTTTTCACGAGAATTTCTATGATTATGAAGAATATAATGATATTTGATATAAAATTAATTAAGTTTTATTTTCACAATAAAAGTTCAAGTCATAAAAATTGAAAATCGATTAAATAAAAGAGTTTACAATTCGAAATAGAAACATTCGAAAATATAGAGTAGTAATAGGTGCACATGATCAAGTAGAAATTTGATGAAAATGACTTGACTTTTTTTTAATAAAAGACGAAGAAAAAACATTTTCTCCAAATTTAATTTTTCTAAAATTGATCATGTGTTTTTTTTTCGTTTTTGGTTGAGTTTCTTAAGATTTTACTAGTTTTTCTCGAAAATATTAGTTCTTGTTCAAATTGATTTTATTCTTAATTTCTTTTAAAATATAAAATATAAAATTCTCCATCGATTAATAAATTAGTTGAATTTTTTTTTAATTAAAATTATATTTATTACTTTATCTTTCATATAAATCTATGATTGTAATTGAACATTTACCGATTCTATTATGTCTTATAGTTTAGATAAAATAGTTGATAACAAGAAGATGAAAATGAATGTCTTATTTAAAAAGTCAATTTCAATTAAATTTATCTCTAATTGAATTTCGAATGATAATATATTTTTATTTTCAGGTAAATATTTATTATTTACAAATGAATTAGAATCTATTAAATCATTAACATTAATTCAATCACAACAACTTATTGATATCGTTCAATACTTATACGATTGTTGTATTATCCATCGTGATTTACGTCCACCAAATTTGATGTTTGATAGAAGACGTCAGCATTTAAAATTAATCGATTTTGGTTTTGCCAAAACTTACGAAATAAATGACTTGGCATTGGAATTGCCAATAGAAGGAACAATTTCGTATGCTAGTGAAAATTTTTTTCGTTTTCATTTAGAATTATCAGAGAATTTATTCTTTAAACAAGATTATGAATATGAAAGAACGTTTGATCTACAGTGTGCAATAAATATAATAATGATTATGAAACACACGTATATAAGAGATAAAATAGATTCAATTAAAACATTGTTATCTGTTCATGAAAAAATATTGGCATCATCAAAATTATGGGAAAATGTTAAAGAGGAGAATAAAAATTATTTTAAATTATTAGAATTAATCAACAACTTAACAAAATCGTCTGATTTTGATGTTATTAAACAAGATGTAAAACACCTTTATGAAGATTGAACAGTTAAAAATGATCTTTATAATCAAGTGAATATTTATTTCATTGATCAAAAACATGTAGATAGCTGATTATGGATATTTTTTTTCTCTTTATTTTGGTAATCTTGTGTTGTGTTTATCGGTTTGTTGTACTTGATTGATTTCGATGTAAATATTATACAGACGAATATAATTCATAGAGAAAAAGAGACTTTTTTTTTCTTAATTTTGAATTAAAAAATCATAATCATTGGTTTGCACATTGATAAAATGCTCTGTTTTAAAGATTTGATATGTTCAATATCAATGTTGAGATGAAAAGTTTTTAGACTGAAGAAATGAATCTCGAATTGAAGAGTAAGTACAAGTGAATTCGACTATCATATTTGATATTGATTTTATCAATTTCATATATTTATATTTAGATAGATTTTATTCTTCTTTATTCAGGTGAATTAGTTAATAATTTTAATTAAAAATAATTTAGTCGACTTAGAATAGTAAAGAAGAAGAAGAGAATTCGATTTTATATATTTAATTAAATTTAGATCATATGTAATTACTAATTAGTAAGATAAAAATAAATCAAATTATTTGATCTAATGAAATTCGTTTGATCAATGAGCTAAAATAGTTTATGATTGAATAAATTGAAAAAAAAACAATATTTAGATTAATAATAATAATAATTAGAAGAGACTCATAGAAATGATTTTCTTACACAAAAGAATTTTTCTATTAGTAGAGATTCATATCAAATTCTCAGCAATATTATTAAATTAAAAATTTCTGAAAAATCAAGAGATCGGATTTTATTTTCTAGAGAAGTTTATCTGATTGAGATAAGATATTTGTAAATAAAAGAAGATATCATCAAGATCTTCATAATATATCTTTATAGAACAATATTGATTCTAGAATATGATCTTTCTTGTCGTAAGAATGAATTAATAATATGACTCGAGTCGAATGAGAGATCTCTAGTCGGTTCAGATGTTGGAATATTTTCTATATAAAAGTCGTTGTAATATTTTTGATTTAAGAGTTCTTCTAAAATGTGTAAAACATTTGACGAAACGAACGAGAACCACTACAATAATTTCATGTATTCTATTGTTGTCTTTCATCATTTTCTTATCATTCATATAAAAGACACCGATACAGAAGAAATACATTATGTTAAGTTTTGATGTAGAGATATTAGTTTAAATTAATAAAAAAAAATATAGAAAAATAAGAAAAGTTTTTTCATTCTATTATAATACTACTGGATTGATTATGAAATATTTTCGAAATATACAGAACGAAAATGAGATTTATTTTATCTCAGAATCGATTTTCAGTACATAAAATGTCGAAATACAGTGTAAAGAAATTGAAATTTATATAAAAATCGATCAAATTTTATGAATGTATAGTAATTTAGGACATCAACCACTACTAATATTCAAGAACTTTCAATTAATATGTTTTGCATTGGTAGATCATAGGGAATTTCTGAGAAAATTTCACATATGGTCACACGTCTTCTATAAACAGTTTTGAACACATCGTGACTAATGTTAAGGAAAAAGAAGGTTAGAAATAATTGAAAAATTTTACTTTTTCATTTTAAAAGTAGAATGATCAGAGATATTAACAATATGAATACTTATAGTCCGTGAAAAACTCTACAAAAACTTGAATATAGTACTGGTCAATATTTTAAGAACATTGAACTGAATGGAGGGTGGGTGTGGGTGTGGGTGTGGGTGTGGGTGTGGGTGTGGGATGTCGGTGTGGTTGTCGGTGTGTGATGTCTCTTTTTTCTACACCCACACCCTTTAATGAGATCACGTATATTAAGAAGACGGACACTATTGTAAACTTTGGCTGTGGGTAAGAGTAACAGTGAAAACGTTTCTGGTCGTAAACCAGGATGTGGGTGTGAGTGTGGAGTGTGTAGGTGTGGATATGTATTCCAAGAAAAATCCAATCTCATCCTCCTAGCCGTCCACACCCATCCGTCCAGGAGATTCAATCCGACAGTAGAATCAGCTCGGATTCGATGGGAATCCCGTTGGATTTTCTATGAATTTCTATAAAACCGACGAAATGCCATCTGAATCTCGGAGATGGAACGACATTCGGATCCCTTGTGTTGGAATCCCATGGGATCCTCCTGCCGGTATTGGACGGAATCCAACGCACCACTCTGACTGACCTCTACTGTTGGCGCCAAATAGTAATTAGTACTTAATTAATTAAATATGTTTCATCCGTCGGATTCGTGAGTGGTTCCATGTCGCGGATTCCCAGAGGATTTTGTCTGTAGATTGGATCCGATCAGATTCGTTGCCGGATTTATTCACCTGGGCACATTCACACTCTCTACCCCCACACCCGCTTCTCAATCTCAAAGAAATTAGACAAAGAAAGAGCAAAAAGCTTCAAAAGAATCATTCTCACTATCATGCGAAAATAAATGTATAGAAAAGTCCTCACTCACAACGGTAAGCACATTCATATCATCTCCACATCGTCAATCAGACTTTGTTTGATAGTCAATGATAATAATAAGAATGATGATGGTAAGATTGAAGGAAGATTCTTGTAGTCAAATCTCTGATTCGAAAGGAGAATGTCGAGATAAAAATTGAACGTTATTCACTTGAGAGTAGACATATGATTCTGCGATCTAAAGTCGAACGTGACTGAATTGATTAAGCATGAACATTTTGCTGGAAAGAGCGTTTTCGAATAGTATCATGACTGAAAATTCTTCACAGGAAGGGACAAGATGTCAGAAAAAGTTTCGACAGAGGAAACAGAAATCTGTTTCATCATAGAAATAACTTTGTTTACTCGTGAACAATCCTAATCTTTGCTGTACTCGTAGCCATGCCACTATTTTCATAGAAGATCTTTTATTAAACTCGACATATTGATGTGAAAAATGAGATTCGGAGTTGAAGTCAAACAAATAAACCCTTAAGGTTCAATGAAGACACAGTCCAAAGTACAAATGCATGTGGCTGCCTATAGATTGTAGCGTTGATTTGATCAATATGCAAACTTCTGTAAGCTGCCTATAATAAAACTACAAATATTAAAAACAAAATTTGTCCTTGAAATTGTTCTAAGTCATCATTACATAGTAAGTCGATGATTGACAATAATAATATTCCTATTTCGAACGATGGCACAAGCATATTAAATGCTTATATCACAGAAGCAGTCCCATGTTGCTTTTACGACGTTTTTTTCTTCTATAAAGATTACTTTTTCGCAGCAAAATTAAGTGCTTAAGAAAGTAGTGGAGCAAGATCGAATTTCTATTTTTCGAAAGATCACATTGTGCGCTTCTTCACTTTCAGCGAATGCAAAAATATTGTCTTTTCATTAGATATAAAGACGGTTGCCGCCACTATTCTGTCTCATTTCAACGCAAGCAATGGTTTCAACAGTAATTCGTTGTTTCGTATTCGTTCTATTCAGGTATTTCTAAAATCTATTTTTTTTCCTATTCATCTAATGTTGAACAATTTTCCTTTTAAGCCTTACAGGTTTGATTCTTATTTTATTTTACATATCCTCCTATTAATTTAGTATGTCGCTAGTTCGAGTGAAATCTCAATTCTGTAATGGGATTGCTCAATATAATCGATGTTCGCCGAATAGTGCATGTGCGTGTTTCCATTTAGCGGGTGCTATTGACATTGGCGTTTGTACGGATGAATTCGTCGAGTGTTCTGAGCTAGCTCCATGCGAACGCCCAAACAACATTTGTAGTGAATCTAATCATAGATGTATTCATCATCCTCGATGTCATAATCTTCCTGTTTGTTATCCGGTGCCAAGTTTCAATCGACAACTCTGTCCACTGATAGCAAGTAAGAAAACAAACAGTGCTCTACAGATTCAAGTGAAAGCCGAATCTTTCTTAAAGGTATTTCTTCATCGTTCACACACTCTAACATATGCAGTTCATGTTGGTGTAGGAGTAGTGGGAAAGAGTCGAAGAGCCTTTGAAAAATTAGATAAAGCATGACAGAGAGAAAACGAATTGTAATCAGTGGAGAAAAAGATTCCATCTGTTCTCATGGAACTATATTCATTAATTTGAAATACCGAGTCTGTTTCAGTTACATTTAGCAATGCATGAATATGCAGTGAACTTTTGAATGTGAATTAGAGACCGAAACAAATTGGACAATTGATCATTCGATTCGATTCGATTCTGTAGAACGTGTCATATGTTAGGAGGATCTCCATAAGAGCACTTCAATTCTATTATGCCACGTTTCTCTTTATTCACAGTTTTCATTGTATACGCGATCGAGTCTAGTGAATATTGATTTCATTCGGCAGCCTTTTTTCAAAACAACTGCGATTAACATCTAGCTTGAAATAAAACGCACTTATGATTCTCTCTGTCATGTTTCTAATGACTTACCTTGCGAAATTGAAGCCTGATCATTTAGCTATGACGAAGTAATCGCTAGAGCTTCAAGAGTGCTTTAGCCATTGAATTGAATGAATATGCTACTAATGATCAGTAATGCAACTGTATATAAAAATTAATTTTCACAGCTTGTAGCACCGCTGACTCAGCCCGCCTCAGAAAAATACTAATAAGCACAGAATGCATATTGGCCGAATACCCTTAGTACGGCTAATTATTTTGGAGGCTATGCTTGCTTGTAGCAAATATTTGAGATTTCTTTCTTACGAGAAGAATGTCAATATTTAAACTGTCTGACGACTAGAGCAACAAAAGAAAGAGAGCTTGTAACAATTTATCTTTACAGTATTCTTCGGTTCTGTCCAGTATTTCTGTAAAATCATTTCACTCACACTGCTGATATGACGGCAGAGTATTCTAATGGTCTAAGATGGACACACTGGCATGTGGGCAATTTATGTGACAGATTGAAATCACGAACTTCATACTTCGAATAACGATCTTGTACTGCAACGACAGTCAGTACATTTAAATCTTTTACTTGTATTTAAAATATAACAGAAGCGATGAATTTGAA